TGTTTGGCGGGCCTGGGCTGGGGATTCGAACCCGCCACCTTAAGTGTATGTGGCTGGCGCCTTAGCTGCTTGAGCCACAGGCACCGAGCCTGGATACTTTTTCTTAATCGGAGGTAATTTAGATAACAGCAAAAGTCAAAGGGGGAATGCATATTCAGTCTTTTTGATTTACATATTTTTAGAATCTTATGGCATCTTAAAATAAATGTAATTAATGAAGTTTGTCTGTATAAAAGGGTAGATAATTTAGAAATAGATCATGTTCTGTTTATAAAAATTAGATTCTTTTAAAGTACCATTTGTTCTCCTTTCTCAGTCCTGATACAATGACCTTGAGAAAATTTTCCAGAAATTATTTCTATACATGTCAATGACTTCTTCCAAGTCAAAGAATTATTAAGTGGAATAAGAGTCCTATTTACCCTGGCCTGCCAGCCTGACATATTTTGTTTTGTTTGCAGTTTTCTTACTAATAGAGAAAAATGGTCCAAAATATATAGTACCAGAAGGAGGAGCTCTTCTGTCAAAACTGAGAAGTATCAAATACACAGGCATTTCCTTCTGGAACCTTGGGACCAGTGAAGAGAGAAACTTAAATCCAAATTGTCAGCTTGCTTAGGTTTTTAAAATGATAGCATTTAGATCACTACCCACTAATTATTTTTGTTTTCTTAAATAAATTTACTTTATTCCTATAATTGGCCCAGAAATGCAGTGCCATGAGACCCAGGGGTTCACTGTCTGCTCCCTGCTGTGCACCAGCAATGGGGACAGGGCTGGACATACTCAGTCCCTTGGTGAACACAGACCGACTGGCCACATAGTGTACAGAGAAACACAAGCAAGAGCTTGGGTCCCAAGTAGAGTGTCACTAACAAGTCAACTAACAAGTCCCATAAGGCCAGCTGGAAAGGAAAGCACTAGTAAAAATCCTTATAAGGCCAGTTGTTTAAATGACTTGCACCTGGTAAGAACCAGTGCAGAGGAAGTGAGGAAGAAGAATGGAAAAGGTTGAATTGTTCTGGGGAGACCTAAATCCATACAATCCTATTTTTTTTTAAAAAAAAGCAAGTCTGAAATGCAGCAATTTCTAGCAAGTACCTCAATTCATGAACCAGGTGTGCAGTGATTCTTGTTCCAGATCCTCCCAGTGGGTGACCCAAAGCAATGGCTCCTCCATTCACGTTGGTTTTACTTGGGTCAAGACCCAAACTCTTCTCAACAGCCAAGTACTGGGGAGCAAAAGCTTCATTCACCTTAAAAAACAAATTAAAGCACTAATAAAAATCCATATTCTCAAACTAATTTTTAAACTGAGAATGGTCCAGTCTTATCAATAGCTAATTCTGCTGTTTCTTCCTATTTAAATCACCTCACAAAGTTATTTGAATCTATCTTCAGGTTTGAAATGTATATATGTATATTTTTTTTGAGATAGAGTTTCACTATATCGCCCTCGGTGTATATGGCTGGTGCCCTAGCCATTGAGCTACAGGCGCTGAGCCTGAAATAGGTATGTACTAAATGGTGCTGTACGTCAAATGCATACCTAAGGGAGAAGTTGCTCTCAGTAATCTTACACATGGCCACACAGTAGAGGCAGAGAGATGTTGCAGAAAGCCCACAGGTTTTGGAGCAAGATGGGTGGTTCAAATATTGGCTGTATTATTTATTAATGTATGACCTTGGGCCTGTTCGTTAAACTCTTTCTACACTTACGTTTCCTCAGCAGTAAAATGTGACTGTAGCATCCTGCTAAGATTCACAGTCAGGCTTAAATACAATCCTGGGTGTTACGCGTCTTGTGTATTACCTGATACACAGTAAGTCCTTCCTGGGTGGCTGCTGTTGGCATTCCTTAGCACTTAGCCATCTTGTAAGAAGCAACTGATAGACAACAAAGGACAGACCTTCGGGGGGATCATACTGTTATACTGTACTTACCAAGACTGGCTATGAGAATTACCTTACTTCAAGTTTATCGTACAACATTCTCATACGATCTTAGCTCAGTTTGTAGGTGAGAAAATGGATTCTAAGAACAACAGCTTTTGCAGAGTGGGGATCAAAATTAAGTCTTTGTGTTCTCTCCTACTCTATTTTGTGCTCTCCCAAGATGGTGTCTTAGATCCTACATTACTTTTCTAATTTATATAGTCATCCTCAAGGAGGTACTAAGAGGAAAACTATGTTGCAAGTTATGTCTTTTTGAGTAATTTATACATCTATAAATGATTATGAACAGTTTTGTAGAGTTGATACAGTTCAATAGAGCTTTAAGTGTGTAGTCTAAAGTCAGAAATTCATTGGTATCTATTTGCTGACTTCGATATGGTAAATTAAGTAGCTCCCTGGAGGCTCTGAACTGGGAACTATTAAATGGAGGAGATTTAAGGATAAGATTATTTGTCTGAAACCATGGTTTCCAGGGTGAGAGATGACGACAGAGGAAATCATACCTATGCCTACCCACACTATCCATCTAAACAAAGAGGTTTCCTTTGTTATATTAGTTATTTTCTACATGCTTAATTACCTGAAATTGTTAAATACTCCCAAAATATGGAATATATGTGAACTATTTTTTCTTGATTTCTCTTTATTTTACTCTTTTGCAGAGATGTGATCTTTGCAAAAAACACTAAGATTTCTTTTTTAAATTCACTCTATCAGTAAAGTTTCTAGAGCCAAAAATTTTCATAGATGTGTCTGAATTCAAGCCACAACAATGGTGTAAAACCAAAAATAAGCTGGGGGAGGATCTCAATTTGGGAAGAAGAGCAAGAAACTTCTAGAACTGGCACTAGATATTACTTTTCTATTAGGTGAATATATATATATATATGTGTATATATATTTTTCATCATAGTTTATAAAATTAGTTATTTTTCTCTTGCCTTACATGTATAATAATCAGTTCAACGGGTAAATTAATAGTCTAAAGTGTAACAGAATTTTTTACAGTCTAAGAAGAAGTTTCCACGAATTAAATTTCAGTGGGAGAAATCAGGCTGTTTGCATTAATCAAATATATGTAAAGCATTTTTGTTACCGTGTTTCCCTGAAAATAAGACCTACCCCAAAAATAAGCCCTAGCAGGATTTCTATGCATTTGTTAAATATAAGCCCTACCCTGATAATAAGACCTAGTGATGAGTCCATGCATTTCGGTGCAGAGCAGTAAGGAAGACTGTAATACCTTTTATTGGCCACAGCTCCTTTCTTCGAGCCATTGGCACTTGCGCAGGTGCGCGTGTGTAACTGCGGTCACAGGCATCCTATTGCGCACATGTGAACGGCTAGGGGAAAGGAGTTCACATATCACTAGTGCCAGCCCCACCAACAAGGTTGGCTCCCCCTGTCAGGTTCCAGAAGAAGATGACTTAACTGTATTTGAATAAATGTAGATTGTTGTATTATACTTAATAAAAATAAGACATTCCCTGAAAATAAGCCCTAGTGTGTCTTCTTGAGAAAAATAAATATAAGACAGTGTCTTATTTTCAGGGAAACATGGTAGGTAGGGAAAAGTACCAACAGAAGGCATGTAATGAAGGTAATATTTACTCAAATGTACATTATTTGCAAAGGTTGACAATACTGAAACAAAAAGAGCTATAAAATACCCAACTGAAGGCTGTTATGCTATAAAAGGAGGCGATTTTCTAGTGCTGTAAAACAAGAACACCTACCTCTACCAAGTCCATGTCCTTGAGACTCAGCCCGGTTTTCTTCAGTGCCCCACTGATAGCAGGGACAGGACCTATATGAGAATAAAAGTCTTATATAGAAATTAATGTCATATTTATTCATGTATCAAACTTTTCCTTCTTTACTAAACATGTAAGGAAGGAATAATGTGACAGTTACTGGTAGTCATAAATCTTACTACCTGCACAGCACATATTAAATGATATGACAACAGAGAAACAGAAAACGGAACCGAGGTGAAAAGCTGCTTATACAGCCACACTGCAGATGAGAGACTACACGAAACGCTCCACCATAAATGGCTTTAGGATTTCAAACAGCCAAAGCAGGCCTATGTGGGACTTTACGGTCAGTTATACATCATGCTTGATATCAAACAGCAGAGCAGACTGAGTGTTCCTTGGGATACAAACCACACATATTCATAGTAAAGAAGTGATTTTGGCTACACTCTGAATCTTCAGGCCTATTTGGATAAAAGGAAATAGCAATAGCATCCCGTGTTGGCACAGAAAGACAGGAAGCAACGAGATACTTAAAAGATATCTGGGCTCAGTGCCTGTAGCTTAAGTGTAGGGCGCCAGCCACATACACAAGAGCTGGTGGGTTCGAATCCAGCCCGGGCCTGCCAAACAACAATGACAATTACAACCAAAATGTAGCCGGGCCTTGTGGCAGTCACCTGTAGTCCCAGCTACTTGGGAGGCTAAGGCAAGAAAATCGCTTAAGCCCAGGAGTTTGAGGTTGCTGTGAGCTGTGATGCCATGGCACTCTACCCAGGGCAACAGCGTGAGGCTCTGTCTCAAAAAAAAAAAAAAAAAAAAAAAAAAAAAGATATCTGAAGTAAGGAGATGTTTGTAATTCCAAGGGTAGACAGAGAATTTAAACAAAATATAACCTCTAACTCAGGAAATGCAAATTACCTAAGAAAACTTAAAATTTCAGCTCCCTTTGGTAAGTTACTAAGTATCTTAAAAAAAAAGTTTTAGCTCCTCAATTTCTGATCACCAATGACATTTTAATACTGCTCATAATTTTTAAGTGAATCCATATATTTTTTCCCAAAGGTAAAAAATCTGGCTACAGGAGGTTATCTATTTCTCTCTTTGTTCTTGGAGAATGAAACTGCCATAAATGCCTACAAAGAGAAATATGTGGTATGTTCTGTTGAATTCAAGTAGTCAAACACTCTGCAAGTTTCATAAATACACCTAAAGCAAAATGGGAAATCGGTCTTCATAAGAAAAGCATAATGGAATCTAAATATAATTATCAATTTAATTTACCACCCAGTTAAAATGCTCTTTGGACAACACTCTGCTTATTGATTAGCACAACCCAGGTAATGCTTTTCAACTGAAAATGAGATCTGTGTGGCTACTGATTTAATATGGAATCCTAATTTCAGATGTGTAAGGCATGATGGGTAGTCAATAGCAAAGCATGAGTCATCCAGCATGGAAAGGGGATGAAGTAGCCCAGGGTGGTGAAAAATACACAGAAGGAAAGGCCGAGGGTGCTAAGAACACTACACACACTTACTTCCCGCCTTCATAAACAACACAGCAAGCAGTTAGCTCAGAATTGTTACAATTATAACAATACCCTAGGCCGTAACTGGATTTATAAAGCATTCTTCCCAGACCATTCTGTTATTTACTGGGACTTGGGAAGTTTTAAGATTCTTGCTAGAAAAAGGAGACCTCATTTCTAGCCCTGGCTCCTACCACTAATAACTGTGTGACTTTGGGTACCTTTTTGGGCAGAAAGCTTCTCAACAAAAGTGTTCTGAATTGTATTGTAACCTTTTTCTCTGAGTACTGAAATTCTTTCTACAAATGAAAGTCAATAATAGAGAGAGCTAGAGCTGCTAAAAGCCAGAGGCTCAGAGCTCTACCCACCAACCTCTGTGACGGCCACCGGGAGGCGCTATAGGGAGCACAACCTTTCTGTAACTGT